AAGGGAGGCTAGGTGAAAAGTGGAGGAAGCATGAATAAAATACAAACCTCAGGCAAGGAATCACGCGTCAATCTGGTACCACGCTAGCGTGGAAGGTTGATAATAGAAGATAGTGGGTCCAGACTTTGTGAGTAAAACTTACATGCAGAGTATACCTGGGAACACTTAATCATCTTCTATGCTCTTGCTGCAAACCTAAAACTGTTTTAAAACGTAAAACCATTCAATATTTTGAAAATAAAAGGAAAAGATGAGCTCTGGGACCTGATCATTTCATTAGAGTCTTAGTCTGCATGCATTAACTGAACTTGAGGCAAGTCACTTAGAGTCTCTAGCAATCCATTTTCCTGTCAATAAAATGGGAATGGGGACAGGGTCTACATTTTTATAGCAGTTCAGGAGACAGTCTATGTAAAGTACTTAACGCGGGGCCAGACACCAGCAGATACTCCCAAATGGTAGCTGTTAGTATCCCTGGTCTTACTGCATACATTAGCTATTCAAATGCATGATTAATGTGCTATCTGACTTATTTATTTTAAAAATGACTGTTCACTTGCATAATTTATTTACTTTTAAGAGATTTACTTTTTGTGATGTTCTAATTATGTGTGCATGTTGAGGGGGTATGTACCTGTGAATGTGGGTATTCAGCGAAAACAGAGACAATGGGCTTCATTGTCAAATCCTTACAAGTGGTTGTGAGCTCACAGACGTGGGTGCTAGGAAGAGAACTCAGGTCCTCTGGAAGGCAGCACACACTCTCAACCACTGAGACATCTCTCCAGTCCCTTATGAGAGAAAGAACACTGAATAGCATCTATTGCATAGAATCTATAAAACAACAACATGAGTTTTCCCAGTATATCTTACAATGTTGAGAGGTTTGACAGTGTGAATTGTCCCAAACTATTTACTTTAAATATTACTTATGGTAATGGAAAGAATGCTCATCAGAGGTTCTGTATGTCCATTATGCTGCCATTATATCTGCAAAGCAAGCAGTTACCACCAACAATCCGATATGACCTCGGAATTATACTAATTTTACTAACAATACTTAACAGAAGTGGTGTGAGGAATTTGGTGTATGTGGTAGCGCTGGAAGCAGACGGTGCCTCCAGATTTGCCCTTATGCTTCCCACCCACGCTTAACAAATCAGCTGCTCCAGGAGACAGACCTAAGCATTTGTATGTTCAAAGTCTTGCATGGTGATTCTAGCCTGCGAACAACCAGGCTCCTTGGTCCCCACACATCTACCCAACACAGGGACGGCTATGTGATCTGCTCGTGTCTCAACTGTCTTTGGTAGCTGTGAACACCGTCATCGGGGATCACCATCAGCCTAGCAGTTTCTCCTGTCACTGTTGTGATTCCTTTGTATCTGCAGTTGGGGTCCTTCGTGGCTTCAGATTCTTGCTCGCTTAGGGCACAGGTCATCTGAGAGAGTGTGTGTGTGCTGCAAGCACGTACATGTGTAATGCATATACGCTACAAATCAAGCTCAAGACTTCACATACTCAAGCACTTACTCAGCTACCCTTTCAGAGCTCAGCGCAGCTCCACGGTTCAGCTCCCCAACCCTCTCCCTGTTGCAAAGATCTAGTTTTCCCTTCCAGGACTTCCCCCACCTCCTTTTCTCCCCTCTCTTCACTGTACTAGTAGGGGACAAGGCACACTAGCTGGCCAGAGTACCATTCCCTGAACAGGCAGTTACCTCTACATCAAGGAGTACACATTTTTAGAATCGCATGCCAAGGCATACCATCCATGCTCCATACAGAGACGGATTTTGGCCCGCAGTATGCACCAGGTCAAACCCCATAAACCAAGCTGCTGTCTCCAGAGAGCATTCCAAACTGACCTGTGGAATGAGTCCAGGGAGCCTGTGGTCATCGGCCCTCCACTGTCAAAATCTGATTAGTAACTCACACCTTCCTAGAATTTGCTCCATCAACTGGAGAAAGACAAATATGAACAATCAAATCTTGTTACAATTCATGCTACCTTCTCCATTCCATCAGATTTTTAAAAAAAAACAAAAAACAAAAAAAACCTCCCTTTTAAATCTCTGATTTAAAATCTTCCCACCTAAAGTCTCAACCAAATGTACCTAGCGTCAGCGTCCTCCTTCGTCTGTCTAGATATCCCTGGTCTGTCCTTGCGTCGGCCATCTTTGTTAATTTCCACAAGGGCAAAACAGAGCCGTGTATGAGCAGCACACTGAACTGTGACACAGTTGTGTGTGTGTGAGCAGCACACTGAAGTGTGACACAGTTGTGTGTGTGAGCAGCACACTGAAGTGTAACACAGAGCCGTGTGTGTGAACAGCACACTGAAGTGTAATACAGAGCCGTGTGTGTGAGCACACTGAAGTGTAACACAGAGCCATGTGTGTGAACAGCACAGTGAACTGTGTGTGTGAACAGCACACTGAAGTGTAACACAGAGCCATGTGTATGAACAGCACAGTGAACTGTGTGTGTGAACAGCACACTGAAGTGTAACACAGAGCCGTGTGTGTGAACAGCACACTGAAGTGTAACACAGAGCCGTGTGTGTGAACAGCACACTGAAGTGTAATACAGAGCCGTGTGTGTGAACAGCACAGTGAAGTGTAATACAGAGCCGTGTGTGTGAACAGCACAGTGAAGGTTTTTTCCAAGTCAGATTTGCTCCCTTTTAGGAGTCTGTGAGATGCACGAGAGAAGAGTATAACAACAGCAGGTGGAGGTGGGCAGTGTGGCTTGTGGTTAACAGCGTGAACATAAACCTTGGATACAGACGCCCCTAGCTCGAGTCCTGCCTCTGCTACTTCCAAACTCATGGACATGGGCAAGTAACCTCACAATTTGTAGCCTGGTGTCCTTAGGGATAGAAATGCTTGCAGTGACTACAGTACCTGAGCCACAGTGGGTGGAGGGGGGTATGAGGCGTGACTATTTGAAGTTTAATGCTATAGAGAAAGTGGGGAGAAGGAGAGAGAAAAGAAGCCAGTTAATGGGGCTGGACTTCCCGAAAAGCAGTGGGAAGCAGGGCCTGAGTGCTGACTGTTCCCTTTAAATAGGACACACGTTCTTCCATTTTCATGGCCTCCACTGATTGCCTTCATTAGCTATGACATGATCTGGCCCCATGCATATCTACTCACTGGACCAAAAATATTTTGTTTTCAAAATGCAATAATCCTCAGAAATATATAGACACAAATACTGCCTATGCCATGTTCTAGCTCAAATAGGGAAACAAACTGATAGGGGAGAGATCTTCTCTCTCAATGGCAGGCTGGAGATTGCTCTGTTTTGCCACAGTCAGAGTCAAATATCCTCTGCTGAGATGTCTGCCGAAAAATCTTATTTTAAAATTCTAGTTTAGGACTGGAGAGATGGCTCTCTAGTTAAGAGCACTGGCAGCTCTTCCGGGAGTCCTGAGTTCAGTTCCCAGCACCCACATGATGGCTCACAGCCATCTATAATGGGGTCTGATGCTCAGTTCTGGCATGCAGGTGTACATGCAGATAGAGCATCATATATATAGGAGTATAGTTTTAAATCACTGAATAAATTGTGTAGACACTGGGGACAGAACTGAGCCCTTCCTCATGCTAGAAAAGCATATTCTACTTCTGAATTGCTATCCTTAGCCCACTCCCAAAGCAAGTTTACACAGATGCTAGAGTTTCAGCGGCTGCGAGCATGCTGCTCACCAACCGCAAAGAAATGTTCTGCTCACAGGGTTGCTGTTCTTGGGAAGAAAACTCACTGATTCAGATAAAGTGGTTTAAAAAAAATACTCACATTTATTTCCAATTAACATTAATTGTGACAGCCTGAGGTACTAAATCCAGCCCCAAAGAGATCGCTTGCCGTGGCAAAGCAGATTTTTGTCAATGACTCAATTTGCATAAAATGGATTTTTGAAGACAACTTTCTAGACAAAAATAAAGATGCTTTCTTTACAATTTCGTTGCACCAGATTTGGCAAATAAGCAAGATGTATTTAATTAAAAGAATGGGGAGTCACGTTAACTGTGAACTATAGTGTTTCCTTGTAAATTATTGAAGACTCATTGAAAACACCAAAGTGGGCTCTGCAAGCCTGCGTTCCATCCCAGGATCCCGGGGTGGAAGAGAAAACTGACTCCCAAAAGTTGTCCTCTGGCTGCCACAGGAGTATATGTGCCATGAGCTGGGGGGGGGGGGGGGGGGAGAGGGAGGGAAGGAGAGAGAGAGGGAGGGAGGGAAGGAGGGAGAGAGAGAGAGAATAAAACAAGGAGATTGGAGAGATAGCATGGTGGTTAGGAGCACTGACTGCTCTTCCAGACAGCCTGGGTTCAAATCCCAGCACCCACATGGCAGCTCACAACCACCTGGAACTTCAGTTTCAAGAGACACCCTCACCCAGACACACATGCAGGCAAAACACCAATGAACATAAAATGAAAATAAATTTTAAAAAAGAAAACACCAAAGAATAGATATCTTAAAGTTCAAAAAAAGTATAGTTTGCTTTTTGTTTTTGAGACAGAGTCTCACATTGCCCAAGCCAGTCAGGAACTCTCTACATAGGAGAGAATGGCCTTGAATATCTGACCGTCCTACTTCACCTGTCCACGGTTGGCATCACCACGGTCTGTTTTATTCCATGCCAGGGAATTGAACCTACAGCTTCATTCATGCGTAGATGATCACTCTAACAATTGAGTTACATCTCTAATTCTCTAAAAATGTTTGAATATTAAAATAATTTGGGCCATTTTTGTAGAGCCAGGTGACATCACTCACCTATGATAACATTTGCATATTTATCACATTGCAAAGCGAGCGCAACAGGAATAACTTACAAGCGCGAGATGCCTTCTCCATATCTGACTTTCCCAACTCCCAACTTAATACAGCAGCGCCCAACATATCAGAGGGAAGGGGAGAGAGGGGCAGGTCTCTGGGTTAGCTGAGTCCCTTGCGGGGAGGGAGGACGGGCAGGTCTGGGTCTCACTCACCCAGGCCGCGCCAGCCCAGCGGACCGTCACAGCTGTCCAGGATCGCGCACAGCTCGCCCAGCAGCGCGGGCGGCAGGTCGAACAGCAGCGTGTGCGCCGACAGTGCGCCACGGGTCCCGCACAGGCCGGCCATCGCCGAGTCCCGGACCCCACGCGGTGAAGCAGGGCTGTCGCCGCCGCTGCCACCTCCTTACACAACCGCGGAAATCCAGCTCCTCGACCGCTGCCCCGAGCTTGCAACGTGCCTCGCCCCGGCCCTCTCAGGGCGGGTCCCACATGACGCGGGGAGCCGCTCCCCAGGGATGCCCCTGCAGGACCTGGGCCGTCCCTGCTCCCCACCCCACCCCCGGCCCTGCGCCCCGCCTTCTGCCTCGTGTTTTGAATGGTTCCAGCAGCCCTCGGCTTGGGCTGTGACCGACCGACCGGTGAGACCAGCCAAGAAAGTGAAGGCGGGAGTCAGCGGCGGGAATCCGGGAAAGCCACCACCCTCTGCTGCCCTGGGATGGGCGGCCTCCTGGCCCGGATGGACGTGGGGGGTCTTCGTTACTTCTTTTAAAGTTTCTCTTTGTCCCGTCCGGAAAGAAATACACACTCACTGAGAAACTCGTTTTCCTTTCCTGTTTAAACCAAATAAATTTAGACGGAAGAAAACGTGTACACACTTGGGGCGGGGGTGGAGGGGGGGGGGTGTCGCGGGGAGAGAGATGGATGAACCACAACAAAACAGGCCAAACCAGGGCAAAAACGGCCTATCCTTGCTGCGGCAGAAGGCAGCCCTGCCACAGTGCCACTTGGTTTACTACCTTCTCCTTTTCCTTCCTCAAAGTGCTTCAACGAGCTTGCAACATGGAGTTTAAGTAACCGTGGCTGCTATTTTGAAATATTCAACCGTTTATACAGGAACGATACGGATGCTACTGAAAAAAAAAAAAAAAAAAAAGAGGTCTTCAAATGTCATCTCCGAAGCGGGAGACAGGACAGTGACGTCTCGACTGAAAAACTGTTGTTCCAAACTTCTCAGGTCTTACTCTTTGGGAACAGCTCCCCCTGGAGTTCAGAAGAGCTGTTGCAGGGGCATGAGATACCCCTGAGTGAATTCCCCAAAATAGTGTTCTGTAAAAACACACACGAAAATTGGTAGCTAGAACGGTTGGAGCGAAATTTCTGAGGTGTCTTCTTTCTAATGACTACGGTTTTATCAAACTACAAACTGAAAAGGGGTCTCTCTCTTACTATGTTGAGCCACAGAGGGAAGAAGGAGTTACTGTACCGGGCACCTTTTGGCTTCCTAGGACAAGGCATGTGCCTGGGCATGTGGACTTGTGTCAGACTTCTGACAAAATGCCCAACAGAGCGACTCAAAAGGAAAGTAGGCTTGTTTGACTCAGAGTTTCGGTCCATGGTTGCTTGACCTCAGTGTCTTTTGGGAGCCTGTGATAAGTCAAAGCATCATGGTGGGAGTATTGGTAAAGAAGGATGCTTACTTCACGACAGCTGGAAAGCAGGGAGGGGGAAGGGGGACTGGAGAGGGGAGGGAGAGAGATAAAGAGAGAGCGTATGTGTAAGCACTAGAGTGCCAAAATTCCCTTCAAGAGACCTGGTTTATTAGGCCAGCAACCAAGTTTTTAGTATATGAGCCTTCAGAGGACATTTAAACTCTTCTCCATAGCAATAATAGAAGCACTCAGAAATACCGGAATCATCAGATCTTCTAATTCACCACGAGGCAAGGAGAAAGAGATTGGGGACAAGATATACCTTTCAAAGTCACGCCTCCCATGACGCAATCCATCCATGTAGTCCCCTTATAAGATAGTTTGCCTCTCAACACTGCCACCAGCTGGGAACCACGAGTTCAACACGTGAGCTTTTAGTGCTTCCTGTCCAGGACTTAACAGACTCTTCTTCCATCCCTAGAGGGGAACCGTCTATACCCCTGCCTAAATCTCATCTTTGATGGCCGCCATGAATACCATTCATGTTGTCCCTTTCACTGTAACTGAAGGAATGAGGGTGGCTGTTGTCACTTATCTCTGTGACTTTAACTGCTTGTCACTCTACTGGCTCCTCCCCATCAAGTTATAAACACAACACACTCTCCAAATCTTGCGATTCGCTAGGATGATTCACAAGACTCAGGAGAGGTTCGTGTAGCCATTCCTCAATACTTTTGCCAGGGATCAGTTCCAAGGTTCGGATACTGAGCATGAGACAGGACTAAAGAGCAGGAGGGTGCGGTTGGTTGTTCCAGTGTGTTAGTAAGGGTCCTAGTCATCCAGGCACGACTGTCAGGTTTTCAGACTGCCTACTACACTACAGACCACCTCCTACACTACAGACCACCTCCTACACTACAGACCACCTACTACACTACAGACCACCTCCTACACTACAGACCACCTCTGGAGTTGGATTCAAATGTTATAGAAGAGCTCAATACAGACAACAAAAAAATCCAATCATTCCAAAAATTCCAGGAATGGGGGGTGCAGTGTTTATTATACCCTACATTCACAACTTCAGGAAGACTTCAGGACTTAAGCATCAGTGCTGACTGTTTTTTATAAACTGACCCACAAAACTATGGGGCTTTTCCTGCTCAGTTTTCTTCCAGTTCTTATCCCCAGACATATTCATGTTAAAATCACTGGGAGCTCTCCATTACAGAATGGAGTCCGACTGGTCAAAGTTCTGAGGAGTCTGTTTTATGGTGGTTATGTTCATTCTTTCCTCTGTTTCATAACTTTTCCCTCCCCCCACCCCCGACGATCTCCACAATTCCTCAAGAGCTACCGAATCCCACCTCTCCTGTGACATTCAGTGAAGAGGGACCTTTACTGAGCATATGTGAGCTTTATATGGTGTCACTGTGACTTCCCTAGCAACTCCAGTGTGTGGGCATTCTGATGGTTAGTAAACACTGGAGAAAATTCACGCCTAGAGAATTTACCTTGGACTAAAAGTTTGGGTGCTTTTACAGTAATCCACCAGTCTTACAAAGTTTTAGTTGTACCCATTAAAGCCAAACTGCCAACAAAATTCCATAAGTTTAAAAAGGATATGAGCTGGGCATGATGATATATGCCTTTAAACCAGCACTTGGAAGGCAGAGGCAGGCAGGTATCTGTGAGTTTGAAGTCAGCGTGGTTTTAAATAGTGAGTTCTAGGCTAGACAGAGACACAAACACAGTGAGACTCTGTGAAAGAAGAATAAGACTAGGGGGAAGGAAGAGAAAGAGAACAAAAAGTAAAAAAACTAAAAAATATGCAAACATAGTTGCATCTTAAATCTTTACTGTTTTTAGTATTGAGTGCAGACGTCAAGCTTGTGTTTTCTAGTTGCGTTGTTCTAGAATTAATATGCCTTTCCAATGAGAAATTACTCTGTAAAATTAGAGATTAATAAAAGAAAAAACTCTTTAATAGAGCACATATCCAACTCTGGCTAAAGCCCAAAGGGAGCTAGCTTGAGTAGAAAATCTTGCTAATTTATATATACCTTAGGCGTACGGGTTGCACATACGCTGCCATCTAGAAACCTCCTTCAGGTCCTGGCCCTAGGTTATGCCTAGAATGATTAAAACAGAAACTGAAGACTGCAAGCCTGGCCACCAAGGGCATAGGAGATGCACACAGCAATGATCTTGCATATTGTACAATTACTTTAAGTGCACCTGTGTTGTTCTTTCTCAAATACTGTTACCCAGAACGATGTATGTCTCTCTCCTTTCAGAGTGAGGTCTGTCTAGCAAGGAGAACTTGGCTTCTAGGCCGGCCACTGTCCTCCTTTCTTGTACTCAGTAACAGATGTCGTTTGAGTCTAGCTTAACTCCCACGTGTTATAGGCACAAACGAATTCTCTGCTTGTTGGGCATCCTGAGGTGTAAGTGTTGACACGGCGGACATCACTGCTGTGAGCACGCAAGTTTCTCATCTCCAGTGTCCTTTCAGGGTTCACTTTTAAGCACAAGCTTGGGGTAACACGAGTAAGAATTCTAGAATGGCAACAACTGGGAGTTAAATGAAGTGCAGGGTCCTTCTGAATGCATGGTCTCTGCAGTATCTGAAGTACCCTAGGCAACACCTTGAAGCTCATGCTGGTTGCAGCTCACATTACTCCTCAGTCTTGACACTGCCAGTCTCTTAGTTTTAACCACTTGATAAGTGCTTAGCGGTATTTTCCTATCAATATTTAGCTACACTTTTTCTGACCACTAGTGAGAGTAAGCATCCCCCACGTGTTTGCGACCTATTCGGCTCCATTCTATGGGCATATGCCACCTAATCCAGTCTCTTGCCCATTTTCTGTTGGCTGCTTGCTGTAGGGGCTGAGTCTGGATTTCTGATTATTGTTATTGTGGTATGAAATGGGAGCTTTATATAGATATGTATATTAAAATATTTCCTAGTCTGTTGTTTGGTCATGATAAATTTTAATTACTAGGTGTTCTCAATGTTCATATAGTTTGCCAGTCTTCTGAGATTAAATAATATTTTAACAGTTTTCAGACATCTTTGCTTTACTTCAATTATAAAGAGATTATTTTACATGATTTTAAGTTTTATTGTTTTGTCTTTCACATTTAGGGGACAATCCAGCCAGGATGAATTCTTTCTGAATGATAGGCTAGTGATGCTTCAGATGACACAAAGGTAGGTTCCCCGCTCATCTCCAGTGTCCTCTGCGACAAATACCATTCTTACAACATTATCGAAGTGAATAACATGTTTCTAAAATGTTTAAAAATAATAAAAGATAAGCATTTTTTTTATTCATGCGACTATGGAGTATTTTTGAGAAAAGATTCCTGAAGACATTAAGTATTTTGTTTTAGAAGAGGCTATTCTTCAATTATTTATTTAAAGATTTGTTTATTTATTATGTATTCAGCATTCTGCATGCCTGTATGCCAGAAGACGACACCAGATCTCACTATAGGTACCTGGGAGGCAACATGTGGTTGTTGGGAATTGAACTCACGACCTCTGGAAGAATAGCTAGTTCTCTTAACCTCTGAGCCATCTTTCCAGCCCGTACTCTTCAATTCTTTTTAACCCTACTTGCCTACTCTTGGGGTGAGGGAGTTTATTAAAACAAAAAATTGGAGGATATGGATGAATCAAAGTAAATCCATTTTTAAAAATGACAAGTTTGTCAGTTGTTGTAGCGCACGCCTTTAATCCCAGCACTCAGGA